ACGCTTTAGCGGCTGCCTTTTGTGTAGTTTGCAATATTTGCCTTTATTTATCTGAAAAAGTCTCATGTTCCTTAACTACATCTACCCTGTTGAACTTATTATGGGAAATAAATATTTAAATAAAAACAAGCTGCTGATTATTTCACATTTTACTTGTGAGCAACGGCACATTTAAATTTTACAAATATAGTTATTTGGCTTATATCGTGATATATATCGTTATCGCCTGAAATAAAAAAAACATATCACTTCTGCACAGACACCATGAAGCGCACACTCAATTTAGAGCAGGGGTGTCGAACTCCAGGCCTCGAGGGCCAGTGTCCTGCAGGTTTTAGATCTCACTCTGGGTCAACACACCTGAATGAAGTGATCAGTTCATTACCAGGCCTCTGGAGAACTTCAAGACATGTCGGGGAGGTCATTCAGTCATTTAAATCAGCTATGTTGGATCAAGGACACATCTAAAACCTGCAGGACACCGGCCCTCGAGGCCTGGAGTTCGACATGTTATCTGATAACATAAATGTGATTATGATAATTTTTGATAGTTACAGAAATGGGGAGGTGGGGGGGGGCGATCTCTTGTCTATGGCTGTATAAATCTATTCATGTCATGTCATCATTTTTTTTTCTTTTGCTGGTTTGTGGAACCTACTCCACATGTAGCTGGCCCATGTGTCTGCTGTATCACATGATTGACATAAGTTGCTACAATGCTTTTGTCCTGTTCACTACTGTGGAGCCGGACTGGAACAGAGCAAAGCACTACAGGCAGTGTCTGTTCATAGAGCAGGTTGGCAGAGCCCTCACCACCCCGACCATGGTGAAGAGAAGCCACCTGCCACCGTTTGCAGCCAGCCTGGTCTTACAAGCCCAGGGCCAAGTGCAGGAGGAGGAGGAGCCTTCCAAAAAGTGGAAACAGTGCGCATCGTGCAAACAGTGCAAAAGGATCCTAACCAACTGCTGCAAATGTGATGCCCCAGTCTGCCAAATCCATCTGAAAACGCTCTATGGTTCATGTTATAAAATGTAAATTACATCTTTGTTCAGTTTGTTTTTGAGTTTGTTCAGCTCAGTTCATTTTGTTTTTGCAATAAATTTTCATTGTTCCAAAAATAATAATGCATCCAAATCAATGCTGTTATCAGTTATTGACCTATTCAAGGCCGTAATAACCTTATGGCAAATATGCTATTCTGCAACTAATTTTTGGAAAATACTGCAGATTATGGGTTTTCCCATAAAAAAACAGGGGTCTTTATGACAATAAGGGCATAAAAACATAAAAAATAATTTAAAATAATGATAAACTTTACACCTATGGTTAGGTCTGAAGTTGTTGAAAAGATTTGATGTGAAAAAAATGAAAAATTTATTTGTATATGATATTGCTATATCACCTGTTGCCTTGGGACCTTTTGGGGTCCTGAGGTTAAACTGTGTTTGTAAGTTTAAGGGTAACCTAGGTGTACCCTAGTTTAAGGGTTAGAAACAAACTTTTCATGAACAGAATCTACTGAAACTCTGAAGCTGAACGGACAGAAAGCCTAAAGTTCTTTTTAAAAAGCTGCTAGTCATGCCAGGAAATTATTGAACTGGTTCAAGATAATAAAATAAAATAAACGAGAACACACAGCCATCATAGTCAGGCACAATAAACAGGAACCAAATTACAGTTAGTGTGTTAAACAAGTGGTCGAATTCACAAGTCCGTTTCATTTGTAAAAACGTCTCTGAAAGGACACAAAACCCAAAGGATAAAACTGTCAGAGTGACCTGAAACATCTGAGTGGGCGGAGATCACGTCGGCACCCCTTCCCAGTAAATACAAAGCTGAAGACTGAGGTGAACAGAGAGAGCTAACCTGCATCAAACCTCGCTTGTAAACACCAGCTTGAAATGGAGATTTTAGGGGCCGCATGACACCGACACCAGGCTCGTGTTTGAGAAGGTGACAACAAACAACGGCAATGGCTACAATGCCAACACAGGTCCGACACACCTGGTCAGCTCAGGGTAAAAGCAGAGATCGGATCATAGCAGGGAGTGTGCGGTTTGTTTCATTTGAAGTACCACGTGCCCTATTAAGAAGTATTTTAAGGCATTTATCCCTTCTCTATGACTGCAGGCATCTTCTCTGCCCCCATCAAAGGACTGTACTACATCCACTTCACCGGGCTGACTGGAAACTCCAAGTCCATGCATGCAGCTCTGATGAAGAACGGCGAGAACATGTTTGCAGTCCAGGACACGGTGGGACCACACAGCAGCACCTCCAATGGCATGACACTGATCCTGGAACAGGATGACCGCCTCTGGATCACCCTCTTGAAAAACAGCAGCATCTTTGACCAAGGTCGGCTCAGCACCTTCACTGGCTTCCTCGTCTTCCCCATGAGCGGAGCCTGAGACACCTGCCCTGGAGAAGAGGACAGTGGCAATTGCTGAGGCTTGGTAGAGTCAAGAAAGAGAAAGTTTGACAGCATTAAAATCACCCAAAACATGTGCACTAAATAGTACTGTTATCTAGAATAAATGAGAAATAAGAACCAGCCTACCAAGATAGTCCTCCTCATTTTCAGAAGTTTCATAGAGAGTATAAACGTTAAGGACAGTATTGTTATTCTGTATATATTGTATACCAGTACACCAGTCTACATCCAGCCTAACTGGCTTTATCGCAGCCACCGCCCTGGTATTCTGCCTCTGACTATAGCTGTGCTGAGATCAGTGGTTGATTCCCCCACTCCCAAACATTTTGGATCAATCATGCATTGCTTGACGTTACAGAACCGGACTTGCGTCGTTCATAATAACGCCAGACTACTGAGTAACCTTGAAAAAGCTGAACCTGCTGCATATATTGACAACTTTCTGCCAGGTGACACTCTGTTGAGTTTCTCTTTAAGATACAGGGAAAGCGTTTAGTGGCAAACACACTAAGCCTCAGTTACTTTGACACAAAGGCATCTGCTGTGATGCTTCCACCTCTGATTATGTCTCACAAGTATCAGCTATGTTTGTATACATAGATATAAAATTATGGATATGTACTGATAAATGATGATAATAATAATATTTCTGAATGAATCGAATAAGTGAGGCCACCCCTCTGTAGTAAGAACTAAAAACTATTTAATAAAATTATTGGAAGCACATCATCTCACATCGAGTGTTTGAGGAGCACGTGTATGTTTTTCAATGTCTCTTTAAGTTTTTCCTTTCTAATAATTTTGTTAAATATTTTTTAATTCTTTCCAGCATCTGGCTTCAACGTGCAGTAGCTGGTCTCCTCAGCTCAGAGACTGAAGGGCTAAATTAGAGGAAAACAGTGCTGAAAGACAAACCCTTCATTAGTTACAAATGCTGTCTCTGTTTATTTCCTGTCAACAGGTTTTAAATTATTTCTAATCAATTACATTAATCAATCTGTGATTAGCCATCCATGCTGAGCTCTGACGGCTGTGGAAACTGAAGTCACACGGTGGTATTCTGATAAATGCAGATTTATTTATCTCAGTCCTGCAAACAGGAAGCAGTAAACAGGATTTTCAGGTCATTAACTGAGGCATGGAAATGTGCGGCCTCTCCTACTTCCTGTCAAACAGCAAGTCTGTCTCCACATCAAATTCCAGGAGCTCGGGAATCTGACGGCGTATCTCTGCTTTGAATCCTCGGCTTTGTGACGACAATCACAAACCTTCAGATTCTGTTTGCTCTCTTGACCCAAACAAAGATGGCTGCCACACAGAGGTTTCTTGGTTTTGATGGGGCAAATGATCAGATTTCACAAACAAACAGACAATCATTTATGAAGCTGGTTTTTAGACCCATAAGGGATGATATATAAAAAATCCAAAACCAAAAAAGTTTCACTTTCATGAATGTAAAAAAACAACAAAATACAACGATTTGTACAAATATACACATTTCATTCACAGTGTGTCTGTGTATGATAGTGTGTGTGTGTGTGTGAGTGTGTATGTGTGCATGTGTGATAGTGTGTGTGACAGTCCGTGTGTGTGTGTGTGTATGTGTGTGTGACAGTGTGAGCTCATGTTTTTCATTTACTCACTTTAAATATTTGATTTTTTTTTAATAGGTAAAAGTAAAATATGAGATTCTGTTTTTGTTTACATTTTAAAAGCATCCCAACTTTTCTGGAACTCATTTTAATTTTGTAGTTTTCATTATTCATAAACGATACAGGATTTTTTTTCCTTTTAATGTAAGAAAAGATTCTCGTGTTTGTTAAATACATCAGCTGCTGCTCTCAGCTCTGGAACCCCAGATGGATTATTCAGGGAAGGGAACAGGGAGGATAAGGGAACAACTAAAAACTCAGAGGGATTAAAGGTTTAACCTGGGTTTACAGCGTGGATTAAATGTTCTCAGCTCTCTGGTGACGAGTCTTCGTGTGGAGTAGAAACCTGAGCTCACCTGTGTGAGACGAGCTTGTCATTGAATTTTTAAATGTTTGATATTTGCTCAGCGTGCCTCACCGTTCTCATTTATAATAACACATTTATCCAACACAGCTTCAGCTTGAACCCTCTGTAGTCTGAACTTTGACCCCACTCACAAGAACAGCAAATAAGCAGCATGAGCTCAATCAGCTTCTCAGGAGTACCTGTCTCAGGTGTGATCATGTGACAGAAAAGGAGCACCTGAGGTGTACAGAAACTCGTTTATTGTAGAAATGCTCCTTTAATGAGCAGCTCAGAGAAACACAAACTGAACAATAATCAATAAAATTAAGTCATAAATCATCGCGCTCGGATCAATAACTGGACCGATGGAAGACTTCTCTCAGAGTCCACAGGAGCTTTTATTGTGAAAGCCTTCACTGGTATCCAGTAAAGTCCTCGGACCCGGACCCGGCGGAGTCCGCCTCCGGCCAACTGGCGGAGGGCGCTGGCTCCCGGTGTCGGGCGGCGTGGTGGGTCGGCAGGTTGGACGGATCCTCCGCGGTGACGGCGGCCGGAGAGATGGAGCCCTGCCCGGGAGGTCCGGTGGGTCCGGGGGCGAGGACCGGAGACACCTCCGCGCTCAGAGCGGTGACGGGTGCGTGACCGTCAGCAAGTAAACGATCAGCTATCGATCTGTTATCAGTGGCGTCACCGTCCGTATCGACGTCACACTCGGAGGGCTTTCCCCGGCTGTGCTCGGCCCCGGGGCTCCCGTTCCGGTCCAGGCTCTGCCCGGGTCTCCAGATGAGGCTGTAGTACACCGCGAGCACCACGGCGGCCACGGACACGCTCAGCACGTACGCCGCCACTGTGGCCAGCCTAACCCACTTCCGGTTGGCGCTGGCCGCCAGCTGCGCCTTCTTCTCCCCAGTGTAGGTGACCGGTCTGCCGCGGGCCGCAGGCACGAACCTCCGGGTCCAGCTGCGGGGTTCCCGCATGGTGGCAGCCGGAGGAGCAGGAGGTGTGTGCTCGTGTGAGTGCGTGAGGTCAGGCAGAGCCTGCAGAGTGCACAGGTCCCTCCGTCATCCACAGCTGGACCCACAGCTGGATCCGCAGCTTTAAATCCACTCTGTCAAGCTGAACCGGGTCAGCACGAACCGGAAACTATGGTCACGCCTCCAAAATAAAAGCACGATCATTCAAAGCGAGTTTGAAAATAAAGTTTGAGTTTTGCTCCTGATTGTTTGCTGTGACCAAAAACTAAAATACATTTTTAAAAAGGACAAGAAAAGAAAAAAGATTTTACTAAAGTAGAAAAAATAATAAATGGATAGCAACAGAAAATCAAATTCCTCCAATCAGATACACCCACAATGCACATGCTCAGGTTGAGCCTCTCAGCAGGTACCAGCTGCAGGAGCAAGCCGCTCAGAAGGACAAATTGAACCAATCAGAGCATGGCATCGTTTAGTCCTCATTTCCGCAAACTGTCAGGCACAGATGACCTCATGCTGCAAAATAAACACACAGTCAAGTCAAGTCAAGTTTATTTATAGAGCACATTTAAAAACAACCAAGGCTGACCAAAGTGCTGTACAGTAAATACAGATAAAAATACAATA